AAATAAAGAAAAAAGAGAAAAAAAGAAAAAAAGAAAAAAGATACGTTGATCTGTGGGATGTGTTATTTGCTTTTTGATAATTGGATTATCTTTCTTTCCCTATCTTTCTTTCCCTGTCAGGTTTGGTTTCCTCCTCCCCTTCTTTACCTCTTTGCCTTTTGGCTGCGTGCAAGTGGGTCCTTGTGACACACGGGGATGGGGGCAGCCAGCGCTCAACCTGTCATCCACGTGGCTGGCCTTGTACGTAAGAGGTTATGAACAGGTAAAGCTTTCCTTACCTCCTTCCCCTTCCCTTTTTTCCTTTTCCTTTTTTCTTTTCCCTTTTTTTTGCGCTCTGATTCACAATGTGACAATATATGTTTGACGATATGTATAGGGGACTGTGCGGGCTGTACAGGGTTCAGCCTCCTTATGAGTCGGTGAGACTTCGACTAAACAGTCTGGCATACACTCCGTCTCTTGCTCTTTTCTCCCTCTCTGAGTACGGTTCGTGGGGTTGTTCTCTATGACTATATATACACACCAATATATATGTTCATACGTATACATATATACATATCCATCTACGCACATACGTGTGTACATATATAGATATATATGATTTGTCACGTATGCTCTCACATATATGATTGTGGGCTAATGTGTTCCAACTTTCAATGTGATTCATTTCTGAGTTCAGGAGAATACAGCGGACTTCCCTCTCGATCTTGAGGATCTGAGCATAGAAGATGCATTGGGTAACTCTAGCCATTGGTTAGAAAACAAAAAGAAAAAAGCTCTAGTCATACAGTGGTAGGAGCTTACATGGGGTCTCCCTGATCCCCCCACGAATTGCAAACGGATACAGAACCGCGACAAAACAGTTTGTCACAGCCCCTCGTTTGTTGTCCTCTTCTCCCTCTCTGCCTACTACGGTTTACCGGGCAGGTCCGTTTGACGATATATATCTGTCCCCTTCACTTTTTTCTGTTGTTTCCTTGGCTGAACTCCTTGGAGGATTGAAGACTGTTGTTTGCATCTCGATTGAAGACTGTTTTGGTTTGTACTTTTTGGTTGAAAACTGCTGTTTGCGTTTTTTGATCGAAAACTGCTGTGCGCATCTCGATTGTGCATCTGGATTGAATACTGTTGTTTGCAGTTTGATTGTCCCCGCAACTTTTTTCTGTCGGTTCCTTGACTGAACTCCTTCGAGGGGTGAAGACTGTTTTTTGGTTTGCATTTCGATTGAAGACTCTTGTTCTTTGTATTTTGATTGAAGACTCTTATTCTTTGCATTTTGATTGAAGATTGTTGTCGTTTGCACTTTGATTGAAGGTTGTTGTCGTTTGCACTTTGATTGAAGATGGTTGTGGTCTGCATTTTGATTGAGGATTGTTGTCGTTTGCATTTTGATTGAAGACTGCTGGATTGAATACTGTTGCTTGCAGTTTGATTGAAGACTGTTTTTTGCAGATTTATTGAAGGCGGTTGTTTGCAGTGTGATTGAAGACAGTTGTTTGCATCTTGATTGAAGACTGCTGTTGTTTGCATTTTGATTGAAACTGTTGTTTGCAGCTCTCTCGATGAATTGCAGGAACGGAGGATAAGTGAGCGACGGCCGATATGCTGACAATGTCATCGCCAAGCAAGGAAGGACTGACATCTTGAGGTCGCAGCTTTGCCTGATGCAAATGGTCTGACGGAGATTCGCTTTGATGCAGGTGAAAAAACCTAATGGCGATTGGAAAGGAAGTGAAGTAATGAATGAAGTAAACTTGAAGTCTTTGTCATGTTTGGCTTAGCGTTTGGGAGTGAGAATCCACATCCTGGGACGCCGCCAAGCTGCATGCCATCGACGTCGTTTAACCTGTGATGGACGGTAAGCAAGGAGTGCTATAGGAAGAAAAGAATTGCATGTGGAGGGGGCTGTTTGTCGTTTTGGGAACGGATGCGAAGAAGGGAAGGTGGCTGTGGGGTTGCTGATATTTGCGGTGAAGAAGTGGAAATCCGCTCGATGTTGATAATGCCGATTTGGAGGAAACCATTACCATTACCATTACCATTTCAATGCTGCTGCTGAGGCTGCGTGTGGTCAGGGGATTCGCTTACACTGTCCGTCACGATGGGAGTGGTTCTGGAGGCCATGCCTGTGCACAAGCTGGCCGGAGCTTCGCGGTCGATGATTGATTGGAAGAGAGGATACGAAGTGGCGGGGTCCGGAGGTTGCAGCAGACATGGCCTGCCGTCTGGGGTCCTGACCAGGCCGAGTTCGATTGTCCCTATCCCGATAGACGGTGCTATCAGAGAAGGGCTCGTGGAGTTGCGGGGTCCGGTGGGCGGAGGTGGTATCTACCTTGAGAAGGGACGGGGGCGCGTTTGGCCAACGGGGGGTCTAGAACGGGGGGTGGCTGGGGACCCCGGGGGGGAAGGGACTGGGCGTGCGGAGAGCGGAGCCTTTCAGCTGTCGGCGGGAAAGCGGCGGGCGGGAAGACGGGATCTGGGGGGTGGTGGCCGCGGGAGTCTGGCCTCGATGCAGTGGCACGGTTGCAATGTGGTAAGTGAGAAGAGGAGGTCGGGATCCCTGCTGGCTGCTGCCACACCGCAGGGCCGGCAAGATTCAGGGACAGACGGTTCGGCCGGCGGCTGGGGGGCGGAGTCTTGGTCGGAGGATGAAAGCCGTGGCAAATGGGGTGGCTGGGGGTGGGAAAGGCTCCTCGGAGCGGAGCGGGGCGGGAATGACGATCTCTGGCAATCTCGCCGGAAGGAGGACGAGCAAAGGTCCTATCAGGAGGCAAATAATGGCCGTGGAAACGATTCTCGCGGTGGAGGCGTGTGGGAGGGGAGGCAGCAACAGGAGGAGGAGGAGGAGGAGGAGGTGATCGGATTTCCAGAACAAGGTGCCAACTCCACGGAGTATGGGGAGGTGGGTTGGAGCGGAGCAGGCGCTGCGAAGGCGAGTAGGAGAACTGGAATGGCCCCTGGGAGATGGAGGATGACCTCCGCCAGAAAAGAAGAAGAAGAAGGGGAGAATTTCATCGAATATAGATATGGAGACGTGGTCTCACGTGGTAGAGACTCTGGGAGTGCAGGTAGAAGAGCGGGAATGAGTCCCCCCTCCGAGAGAGGGAGGATTAGCCCACGAAATGTTGGAGAGGAAGACGAGAACTTCATTGAGTATCGATACGGAGAGGTGGTTTCAAGCAGTGGAGGAGGGGTGGGGATGCCGAACAGCGCGACGACAGGAAGGAGCTCTGGGAGAGGGGAGGGAATGAGCCCACGAAAGGCCCGTGAGGATGATGAAAGCCTCATTGAGTATGGGGAAGTGGTGTCGGGTGGGAGAGGGTTTGGTGGGCGTGAGGGGAAGGAGGGGGGGGAGATGATGATGCCTCAGAGAGAGAAAGGGGTAGCGGGCGTATCCCAGCGGAATGACATGGTATACATGATCAAGGCGAAAGAGGCTGACGTTGTGGAGTCTCGCGAGGGAGGGAGGGATACCGGTGAGCGAGCCAGACAGAGACAGGTCGAGGTGGGTGCTGCTGCTGCTGCTGTGATGGAGGATCAGCGGCAGCCTGCCAGGGATCGAGGGCGGTATCCCGCGGCAAGGTCATTCAAGGAGTTCGTCAGAGGAAACAGTGGGAGATGGTACGATGATGCAGATGCGTCATCGGGAGGAGGGAGGGGATTGGCGGGAGAGGAGGAGAACGAAGAGGAGGAGGAGGAAGAGAGGGAGGTAGGTGGGTTTTCAAAGGGAGGAAGAGACGGAGAAAGAGGGAATCTGTTGATGGAGGTAGGGAGGGAAAGGCCCGGCAGAAGTACGGAGGGGTTGGGATACAGCGGGCAAGGACCAGGGGCCAAATCCGGGGGGAAAGCGGCAATGACATCAGCGGAGGAAAGAAAGCAGAGAGAGAGGGAGGAGGTCAGACGACTCTTGATAGAAGGATTGGGATTACTGAAAGAAGGGAGAGAAGGATTGAGGGGGAAGATTGAGGTGGGCATTGCGGAGAGAATGTTGCATGAAGCTGAGGACAGATTCGCCATGGCGGTCGATTTGGCACCATCCAGTCTGAATGCTATGGGTCACTTGGCTAATGCATTTCTGGCACATGGGGAATTGAAATTAAGGGTTTGCCAAGAGTGCCGAGCGTTGATACAGGGTTTAGATGCGCAGAGACCTGGGGAAGGAGGCTCGGGGCCTAAATGGGCCAGGGGTAGAGATAGAGAGAAAGAGCTCGAGAAAGAGAGGTTATCGACCACAATGAACGATTCTGCTGCGGAGAGCGAGGAGTTGTTGATTGAAGCGGGCAGAAAGTTCAAAACGGTTCTAAGTCAGGACAAGAGGGATGTCAGAGCCCTGCACAATTGGGGGCTAGCACTGTGCTTCAGGGCGGAGCTGGCAGCTGAGAATTTTGGCAAAGTAAGTACACCGCGCATATGAGCCCTCTATATCCATCTACACACTTCTTGATGGTGCTGCTCCGTCCCTCCTTCCCCCCCGCTCCCCCTCTCCTTGGTTCCCTTGGCACAATTTGCGTGACTTGATTCACATCACCTGGCTTCCCGCAATGATTCTTTGAGGTTGGCCGCCATGTATAGTTTCTGCTTGTGGTGTCAGTGCCTGTTTCCCTCTCTGTGCATCTCTGCTTTGACTGAGAACTAAGCATTTCTGCGCTGGAAAAGACAACTCTCTCTTCTCGGTTTGTGTGCGTGCCATCCTTACAAAGCGCCTATGTCCTCTCTGTATGTCCTGCAATCTCTTACCGAATATCCCCAGCTTCTTCTTTTCATCTTCGAATCTTCAATTACTACTACTGCGGCTGCTAATTAACCCCCGCCTCCTCCTGTCCTTCTTCTCTTTTTTTTGGAAAGCATTTCTCCGATCTATTCGTGGGGGAGCAGCACGTGCTTGGAACCGGGCCCAGCGTCCCATATGTAAACATGGAACAACTTATGTTACTGGGGCCACAACCCGGCTTTGGCTAGAGAAAACAGGGATTCCAGAACTTGTTCTTCTTGTTCTTCTTGTTTCTCCACCCTCTTCTTTTTTCATCTGCTATCTGTACTACCACTAGCAATTGACCTCCTTTTCCTCCTCCTCCTCCTCCTCCTCTTCTCCTTCTAATACCCTACCATGCTTTGCTAAGGCACCAGCGTTCTCAGGGAGCCTTGTTGTGGCTGCCCGAGAACCTGGTTCAATGGGTTATAGCACGCGAAAAATGTAGTGGCGGATGCGGCTTTACTTATGGGATAGTATATCTGGTTTACTGCTCAGTAAGAATTTTTGCGTAGGCAGCTACTACCGTCGAATAGAAGTTAGCTCGTATTTTCCTTTCCTTTACTAGCGGTAGGATGGAATTATTGTCATTTTGCCCTAGGAATTACGTGGCATTGCCACGGTACCCCGCTGCCAGAAAGGCAGCCCAGGTACTCCCGGACTACCCGCACATAGAGCGGGAAATTCGGATTCCGGAGTTTCGAATTAGTACAGGTCACGCTGCGTCGGATTTTGAAAGTACAGGTCATTCGTGGACGCACGTGTAACTGACTGGAGTAGGTGGAGATCCGCGACCCACGGATTAGCCCAATGAGAAATTAGAACGGAGGAGGGAGTGGACCAATGGGTGCTCGTTGATAAGTGAAAGAAAGCTTGAAGGAGAGACTTGATCGTTTGGAAGGACTGGTGACAGGGAAAGAGACGTTAGTCACTGCATGGTACCCCCACGTGAACATGCGGGGGAAGCTGGCCTGCAGGCTCAGTCGTCGCGCCGGCAATTCAGACACGTAACGGACACTATAGCGTCCGTCGCAACGTCTAGGTGGCAGTCCAGCCGTAGCCGTAGTAGCTCGTGGAAGTGCCCGTTAGGGGCGGAAGTACCGTGCGGACGAAGCGTCTCACTTGGCGTTCAGTATATAGGAGGGCAAGGCCTGATCGGCCCTCAGTTCTCAGAAGGAAGGTGTGATCAGTGGGCCGCAAGGCGAGGGTGTGTGGAAAGCCCCCTGAGGATGATCGGAGCGCAACCGATTGAAACGCGTCGGGGAATGTGCGCGTGTGCTGAGATGAGTATGCGCTGTTCTGTATTGACGAGCATTCGAAGCGTGTACGAAAGGCAGTTTGGCCACTGTTTCCACTATTCTTCTTCTTCGTCTTCGTCTTCTTCTGATTTTAAGTTCTGCTAACTTAAAAAAAATGACACAGCTTTATCTATGGCTACACGATCCATTCTGTTGTGGAGAGCATCACCTGATTTTCGCCATTACAGATAGGTGCAGCCATGCGCATGGCTAGAGGCCAGCATTCTGTGCTGGAGATCAGTGGCCTGGCTTACCTTCTACATCTACACCTCTACACCTACTATAAGAACTGCTAAACGTCCTATCTCACGGCCTGAATAGCAGGCCGGTAACGCGCCGCGGACGGCCCAGATCGCAGACCGATCAGAAAGTTTTCTGATCGGCCTGCGATCTGGGCCATCCGCAGCGCGTTACCGGCCTGCGATTTGGGCCGTGCGATGTCGCTACCGGAGGGGCCGAATTGCAGGCCCGCCCACCCGTTCGCCCGCCCGTCCGCCCGCCCGTTCGCCCGCCCGTCCGCCCGCCCGTCATCCAGCCCGCCGGCCCGT